GTTATTTTTTACAATTTCAAGTTCTATCGGGCTTAAAAAATACCCTTTATTAGGAAGGAACTAATCAAAATTATAACTATTCGAAAGCCATAATTGATAGTCTGGGTAGATCTGATAAATATGCATGGAGGTGTATGATATGTTATAGTCGGACCCGTCCGACTTTTTTTAAAATTTTATATATAGCCATTTTGAGGATTAAAAACATTCCACTTAGTTTATTTTGAAGGTCTTCCTGCTTTCGCCTAACTCATTTTTTAAATAGTCCCCGTTAAGCAATCACTCCTGATTTTTAGCTTTTAAATGACTTGGTATTTAACGATTTTACAGATTAAAGAGGGAAAAACGAGAAAGGGGGTGCACAATGTGCACCGCAGACAAACATTACACCTACATCTGTTTATAAATCACCAATCGTCTGAGCCCAATCCACACTCTTTCCCTCAAAAAAAAAAGAAAAAAAAAACAAATATGCCAGCATTTGATGTACAAGTAATTACCTCCCCCAATGGTGATAATGACGAAAACGACTTAAATTCGCATAATCCAATCGATGTTCATAAATTAGTGTGAGTGTATGTGTGTCTATTTATTATGCAAATGAATACCAAAAACAACAACAAGGTACGTTCTTTTTACGATATGTGATGGATTAACAAATGTGATTTGTTTTTTATTTGTTTTCTCTTAGAAATGTAATAGTGTGCATGTAACAGATTGAAATACATTGTAAGGTGTAAAAAGAAGTTTTCAAAGACGACAGCGTATGTATGTTAGGTTGTCGACAAATGTGTCCTTTGCAGATCAGCCCAAGTTGAGTTTTCTTGAAAGATAACCTTAAAAGAAATAAGAAAAAACGACAAATTACTTAACATTGTTAGTTTCTTTTTAAATTAAATGGAATCGGTAGGATATGTAAAAAGAGTAATGTGTTAGTAGGAATACATTGATAAGCATATATGTGTGTATCAAAGGCATATATGTAGAATATATTCCTTTGAATTTACATTAAATTAATGACATATGTTTTTGAAATATGTAACTTAGGTGCCAGTGCAAAGATACGTTTTACAGGATGAGATGAGAAAACTGCAACCAACTTCAGACTGCTGTCATTTCTAAGTCACTCGTACAAAGCATTTTGGTGAGAATTTTCCAGAAGAGAAGTTATCGGAATTCAAGTGTGATAGTGTTGCTGGAAAACCAAAAATGGCTATCGTTAGAGCACTCCAGCATTCAAAAGAGCTAAAGAGTTGCTTCGCTTGGCCGAAAATGCTGAACTGCGCCGGCCATGATGATGGTGTGGGCCGCCACAACACTCTCCACTCGTATTAATCAACCGTGGCATCAGAATAAATGCTGAATATTATCTCGAAAATATTCTGGAGGGGGTATTAAAGCCTTGGGCACGCAAACATTTTGGCCGCAGACCTTGGACATTCCAATAAGACTCAGCACCATCGCACTCAGCGCGCGCCACCCGAGAATGGTTACAAAATGAGGACTATTGTGTCTGGAGTATTTTGGAAAGCAAGATTGGCACTAAAAAATACCAAAGTGTCGATCACCTCAAGCAAGCGCTTCGCCGGGAATAGGCCAAAATACCGCAGAGCAACATTCGTCAGCATGTGACGGTTTCATTGGCTGTTTGAGGGCCATAATTCGTACCAAAGTTGACCAATTTGAACAAATCTGAACTTATTCTAAAATTGTAAGCTATTTCCGAAATTTTTTGCTTTCGTTCAGTAAAATTTAAAAAATATGTTATTTTTATTATATAAATTAAAAATGTTGTGAGAAAACTGTTTTCCTTGATGGCAATGCCTTTAATTCTGACTTTATTAAGCCAGGTTTGCTTAGTGACATCTGGTACATTTTCAGTATTTTCCTAGGTTTTACAATATATTTTAACGTTGGCAATACTATCGCTTAAAATCCAGGCTTAGAAGGTGTCATTTTGCAGTATTGAATATTCCATATTCACTGCCTACTTTCAGGCATTAAATAACACACTAATCGTCGTCAAGTTGCCAGGTTAATTAATGTGAATTTGTTTTGTTTGTCAAGTATAGATGGCAGTTTGCATTAAATGCAAGAGATAAATAAATCTACTATCGAATCGGACTATTATTTAAATATTTTTGTTCAGATTTCAGCTATATTTAAACAGCAGATTTAAAATACCTTTAAAATGCGTTAGCATTTAAAATCTTTAACCAGATCGACCCTGGCAATTGACCTTTAAAGAGAGTTGGATTCTTTGAGCATTTTGTTTTTTTTTTTTTTTAATTTTGGACTCTATGTGGGGGAGATACCAGAAGAAATGGTCCGATCTCAACCATCTTTATAAGAGATTTTGTGTTGATAAAAATAATGAGATGTGTCATGTCTGAATGCATGACCTTCATTGATACAGATAAATGTGATACAGAAAATTGTGACAGGTACCAGAAGAAGTGGACCGATATATACCATCTTTACACCATACCCTGAGTCAGTTAAAATTATAGGACGTGTGTAATATGAAGAGACTCGGATGCTTATTTCGGATTTTATGATCTTTTTGGTAATTTAACACTTTGAGACTTTGTGGGGGAGGTACCAGAAGGAATAATCCGATCTCCACCATCTTAATAACAGATACAAATATTGAGATGTGTTAAGCCTAAATGCAATCGAATGTTAATTTCGCATTTTATGGAATGGAAAAGGAATGGTCCGATCTTTACCATCTTTATTACAGATCTTGTGTTGACGGAAGTATTGATATGTGCCAAGTCTGAATGGACCGATATATTCCATCTTCACAACAGAGCTTGGGTTAATAAAAATTTTGTTATCTGTGTAATTTCAAGACATTCGGATTCTTGCATCACATTTTTATAAGAGTTATTATTATTCGAAATTTTGACCCTTTGTGGGGGAAGTACTGGATAGAGTGAACCGATATTGTCCATTTTCGCACCTGACCTTGCTCTCATAAAAATATGAGGATTTGCAAAGTTGGAGCAAACTCTGATTATCCTTTCTCTTTCTGTACAGAAAATTATTTTTTGAAAATTTTGACATTTTGTGGGGGAGGTGCCAGAAGGAGTGGACCGATACTGCCCATCTCCGAACTCGATATAAGTTTCACAATAATATTACGGTGTACCAAGTTTGGATCAAATCGGATACTCCCTTCGAGAGTTATCGTACGCACCCGCCAGACAGACTGACGGACGGACTAGTTGGTACTCCAAACTGCCGAACGAAATGAAGTAGATTAATGTGTTTCAGGTCTACAGGACTTTTGGTATTAAGAATGGGCTATATAGTTCCACGTTATTGTGTAGGCCCCGACAGATTTGTTAAATGTTTTAGTCACAATTCGGAACCGAATTCGGTCTAAATTGGGAGTTGTATTCCCAGTATGTAGCAAACATCGTTGCAGAGAACTGTACATATGGGCCCATGTTTTAGTATAGATCCTAAAAAAATGTACCTCCGTATATTCGGTATGATTTACGTCACTGTTTTCACGGGAAATGTTTAAAATTTGGTATTTAGAGTTCGTAATGGGTACAGCCTACTATGACATACAATTTCCTGTACAGATCCACACCTCTGTACAATATAATGTTACCTCCAAATATTCGGTAGTTTTATGATAAAAGCCAAATTTTTGTACAGAACTATCTCAAATTTAATATTTGAAATTCGAATAGGTACAACCTTCTCTGGCAGATATTTACCAGTAGATGTTCATGGTTTTGTGTATTCTTCTCCTGATATTCTGTGTTTTTATTATATGTGTAACACTTTTTACCGGAATTGTTTCAAATTTGGAATTTTATAATGGGTACTGCTGATAGAAAATTGCCTATACAGATACACATTTTCGTATAGATCACAAAAAACTGTACCTCCCTATAATCGTTAATTTGATGAATAATTTCACCAAAATAATTTTAAATTCGGAATTTGAAATTTTTTGGAGTTCGCAGTGGCCACGGTACTTCCCAATATTTGGCGTTTTGATGATTTTAGCTACAGTTTTCAACAGAATTACATTAAATTTGGTTTTGGTTTGGAGTTCGTAATAAGCACCTCCATCTCTGGCAGTTACCCGGATGTTAAGGTCCACGTTTTCGTATAGTCTCGTACAGAGGCGGTGGAACCTGCTATTCGGAATTTTTTACATTTTAGCGGCATTTTTCAACGGAATTTTTTTACACGTTCGAAGTTCTTTCTAAATGTGTGGAGAATATTGAAAGTCCGGCCTTGTCGAACTTAGGTGCTTTTTTATTGGTTTCGATTTTTGATTTCTTTAATTCGAATTAATTAATAAATCGAATTTAATTTCGACATTGTGAAATAGGTCGATTTGAAATAGGTCCGATTTTATCGAATGCGAAAATTGTGACCAGTGTTTACCATTTTGATTGAGATGGCAACCCTGAAACATGTCAAGTGAATTATGTCATTACCATCTGCTGGTAGTATTATTGTTGCATACTTTTTGGCGTTTGTAATTTAACATTGACGTATGCCACATCTCAGCATTTGAAATGTATAGTCAAGGCCTGTTTTCCTTGGAATGAAGCTTTTCCCGTTGCAAATTACAACTTGAAATAACTTATTGCAAATCGAAAAACTTTAGTCGTCGAACAGACAGATGGTACAATTTGGGATTAAATTTCGTATAGATGACATTTTAAATTGTTTAAATTACACAAAATTTCATATTGTTTTGGTATGTATTGAAACCTCCGCTGATGATGTCAAATCCATGACAATTTAATGAACCTTAAATTGTTCATATAAATCTTGAGCTGAGAACAAAATAAAATGAAAATGAAAAAATAAAAACAAAAAACGTTAGCAAGACATACATTGATATAAAACAAAGAAAAAAAGCAACAGCAGACAGAAATAAGTATTTAGACACGCACAACTAACATTTTTTTGTTTTTTAGTAAAACACAAAATACACATACATACACACACAACACAAACACTTCCATAAATACCAATAAAGCATTATATTTGATATGTACAAAAACAACAACGATTGCCTACAAAAATTTCCCACACCAATTCTATTTTATGCGTCCCCCACTCAATCATAGCCTCTGTATGAGTGTGGCATACAATCGGCGTCTTGGCGGCTAGTATATTGAGCTTTGCTCTTAAGCTTTGGCAGGCCATAGCGATCGGTGTTTTTATAATAGCCATAGCCAAGATTCCGACGACCATGATAATTGGGATTCCAATAACCGCTGTATTGGCGTAAACCTCCATTACCTCCATAGCCGCCATAACCACCGTTGCCGGGTAGAATGTTGGTTCCTGTGCCACTGGGATAGTAGGTATTGGTGGGATAATAGCTACCGGCATTATTCCATCCAGAGCTGGGGTAACCTGAGTTAGGGTAGCTGTTTGTGGGATAATAACCATTTGTGGGATAATTACCACCGGTGGTTGGATAATATCCCGTGCTGGGATAAAATCCCCCATTTGAGGGGTAATAACCTGTCGATGGATAAAAGCCATTGTTGGATGGATAGTAATTTGGCCGGGTATTGCTGGGATAATAAGCATTTCCTCCTCCTAATAAACCTCCTAGATTGAGAACTGTTAATGAAATGGATTATTATTATGAGGCTGGACTGGTAGCATAATAAGAAGTTAAGACTTACGTTTGGCAGAAGTGGCCGATGTCTGCAAATCATTGGATGTGTCTGCATTATTGGCATTTTCAATGGCTCGCGATAAATGCATCAAAGTGAAGAGGAACTGGAAAATTTTTTAAACAAAAATATTTTAATATTTAAGTTGTTAATGTATTTTAAAACACGTAAGTCGATGTAAATCGATTTGAGAACTGTAGTTTATTTAAAGATTAAACATATATTTGATTTAAATCTAACAAATTTGATTTTGAACTCAATTTGTACATCCTAATTTTTATAGTTTGATCAAATTTTGGAATAGCGTCGAGCAGTATACCTAAATATAATTATTTCCCAAATTCTGTAATTTTTTAATATCACGTTACCAAATCAATTTTTTGTAGGTAATCAAACATTTGTCATCTGGCATATCATTATATTATTTTCATACTTAGACAGAACATGTTCGGCCGGGCCGAACTTTGAATACCCTCGACCTTTTGGAAATTATGTTAAAATCTTGGAAATACCGAATTTAGCTGTTACATCAGGATCAATGCGACGGCATGGACCTGTATAGGTGACTTTTGTCATAAGCCATTACAATATTCAAAGCGAAACTTAGAAAAAAATCGGTGAATAATGCCGCTAAAATCATCAAAATACCGTATATCGGGAGGTGCCATTATATTAGGGCTATACGATGGCGTGGACCCGCACAGACAATTTTTGTCTTTGGCTGAAGTATCCATTATGAACTTCAAATAACAAATTCGAAACAATTCCGATGAAGAATGTCTCTAAAATCAACAAAATACCGAATATCTGGAGGTGCCGTTATATGGGGGCTATACGAGGACGTGGACCAGCACAGACAATTTTCTGTCTTCGGCTGAAGTATCCATTATGAACTTAAAGTACCAAATTAGAAACAATTCCGGTGAATATTGTCGCTAAAATCATCAAAATACCAAATATCGGGAGGTTATACGGGGGCCATACGAAGACGTGGACCTGCACAGACAATTTTCTGTCTTTGGCTGAAGTATCCATTACGAACTTCAAATAACAAATTCGAAACAATTTCGATGAAGAATGTCGCTAAAATCAACAAAATACCGAATAGCTGGAGGTGCCGTTATATGGGGGCTATACGAGGACGTGTACCTGCACAGACAATTTTCTGTCTTCGGCTGAAGTATCCATTATGAACTTCAAATACCAAATTTGAATTTCGCTAAAATCATCAAAAAACCAAATATCGAGAGTTATTGTTATACGGGGGCCATACGAAGACGTGACCCTGCACAAACTATCTCCTGTCATAGGCTGTAGCACCAATTACGAACATCAAATACCAAATTTGAAAGAATTCTGATGAATATTGTCGCCTAAATCATCAACATACCGAATATCGGGAGTCACCGTTATGTGGGGGCTATACCAAAACGTGGACCTACATGGCTCATTTTCAATATCAAAAGTCCTGCAGACATAATACACAATTGAGTAATTTTTTATCAACTTACTTTATTTCGTTCGGAAGCTAGAGTTATTTCCAAAGACGGAGAGACGGACGGACATAGCTAAGTCGACATAAAATTTTATCCTAATCAAGAATATATATGCTTTGTGGGGTCTAAAATATATATTTCGAGGCGTTACAAACGGAATGACAAACATAATTTACCCTCCATACTATGGTGGAGGGTACAATAAAGTGAAATAAGAGTCCGATTGTCTTCAAAATACGCACGTCTCAATATTTCTACAAATACAAGATCTGGTATGAAGGCCGTATAGAAGATAGAACTACTCCTGCTAGCACCTTTCGTACAACGGATCGGAGTTTGAATAACCATTCCGGTATGCAATACAATACTAGCACAAGATCTGATACGAAGATTATAGATATCGACCCACCCCTTCTGGTACCTTACCGGCCCACTCCTTCTCCCATAAAATGTTAAAATTTATATATGTGTCTATAATTATTATCTGAGTCGAATTATGCATGTCCATCCGTCGGTTTATGTTTCTTATACCCTCAGCCATATGGCTACAGAGGGTATATATCATTTGATACGGCCAAAAAGTCCCCATCAAACTAAAGGTTTTACAGGATATTTGGAGTCGATCTAGCGATGTCCGTCCGTTTGTCTCTTTGACTGGTACGCAGGGAGTATCCGATTTGGTCCAATCTTGGTACATCGTAATATTATTATGAAACTTAGATCGAGTTCGGAGATGGGCAATATCGGTTCACTCTTTCAGGTTCCTCCCCCAAGAGAGGTCGACATTTTCAAAAAACAAAAAATATATATTTTACTGAACAGAATGAAAATGTATAATCCGGTTTTTGCAGGTCCACGCCTTCTTATAGCCCCCATATAACGGTATCTCCCGATATTCGGTGTTTTGATGATGTTAGTGACATCACTCAACGAAATTGTTTCAAATTTGGTAGAAGATTGTCTCTGCAGGCCCACGTCTTAGTATAGGCCCCATATAACGGTACCTCTCGATATTCGGTACTTTGATGATTTTAGCGACAATATTCACCGGAATTGTGTCAAAATTGATATTTGAAGTTCGTAATGGATACTACAGCCCAAGACAGAAAATTGTCTGTGAATGTGCACGTCATCGTATAGCCCCCATATAGCTGTACCTCCCGATATTCGGTACTTTGATGATTTTAGCGACAATATTCACCGAAACTTCTCCAAATTTGGTATTTGAAGTTGGTAATGGATATTACAGCCTATGTGTAGGCCCTCGTTTTGGTACAGCCCCCATATAACGGCACCTCCCGATATTCAGTATTTTGATGATATTAGCGACATTATTCACAGGAATTGTTTGAAATTTGGTAATTGAAGTTCGTAATGGATACTACAGTCTAAAACAAGAATTTGTCTGTTCAGTCTGTTCTGTCTTCTTATAGCCCCCATATAGCGGTACCTCCCGATATTCGGTATTTTGATGATTTAAGCGACATTATTAACCGGAATTGTTTCAAATTTGGTATTTGACGTTCGTAATGAATGCTACAGCCTATGACAGAAGATTGTTTTTGCAGGTCCACGATAACTCCCGATATTCGGTACTTTGATGATTTTAGCGACATTATTCATTAGAATTATTTTAAATTTGGTATTTGAAGTTTGAAATGGACATTACAGCCTAAGACAGAAATTTGTCTGTACAGGTCCACATCTTCGTATAGCCCCCACAAAACGGTACCTCCCGATATTCGGTATTTTGATGATTTTAGCGACATTATTCACCGGAATTGTTTGAAATTTGGTATTTGAAGTTCGTAATGGATACTACAGCCCAAAACAAGAATTTGTCTGTTCAGGTCCACGTCTTCGTATAGCCACCATATAACGGTTCCTCCCGATATTAGGTATTTTAGCGACATAATTCACTGGAATTGTTTCAAATTTGTTATTTGAAGCTGGTAATGGATACTACAGCCTGTGACAGAAAATTGTTTGTGCAGGCCCTCGTTTTGGTATAGCCCCATATAATAATGCCTCCCTATATTCGGTACTTTGATGATTTAGATGATGCTAGTGCATGTCGTCGTATAGACCCTAATATAACGGCTATATTCGGTATTTTTATGATTTGAACATAATTTTTAACGGATTTTATTATTATTTTTTTCTGAGTGACAAATTCTTTCCAAGTGGTGGAGGGTATTTAAAGTTCCGCCCTGCCGAACTTATAGCTTTTTAATTGTTTTGTTTTTGAAAATTTCCAAATTCTTTTCAAGTGGTGGAGGGTATTTAAAGTTCGGACCGTTTGAACTTATGGCTTTTTTACTTGTTTCTGTCTTAACTTGTGAAACAAGTCAGCGATGCTCTACAACTTGCTATATCCAAATTTTTCTCTCAACCTGAAACCTGAGATGATTATGGAATTTATGATTTGGCATAAAATTGGATATAAATGTTCTGATTTCCAATATTTTTATCTGTATTAGATGAATTATGAAAATGAAATACTTTGGTCGACTATATCTGGAACGCACACGCACATTTTAACATTTTTTAAAAATTATCACATATCTCATACAAAGAGAAGAAATTAACCACTATAGTCCAAACCTGGCGTGTCGGAATATTTATATCATATTTATTTAGGTCCGATCGACACCTACTCTTAAAGTCGAAATATGTTTAAATAAGCGAATATTTACTGAGGGTATACATCTGTCGGCAAAACTTTTTAATTTATTTTATTTAAATCGAGATAATATAAACTCGATTTTCAAGGTTCACATATTATTCTGGAATATTACAAAGACCCACCACATAGCATGCCTTTTTTTTTGGCTCCAAAATTTGTCCAGCTTTTCGATTTTAGCGTTTGAATCCCAATGGAAATACAATTAGCTCTTCTTTACAATATTTTAAAGAGAACTTTGTAATCGATTTTATAAAAAAAGTTCATTTCATTCGAGAAATATTAAAAAATCTTTAAAAAACTTCAAAACAGTTTGATTATTTTTTACACCTCATTTAAATATTCCAATTATTCGCGTTGGAGTGGAAATCAAGCCAAATATAATTTTTTTTTTCTCTTCGTACTTCACAGCATGTTGTGTCTTCTCGAAACATTATAAATCACTTTTTATATCATTACACTGATTTGCTTTTTATCTTAGTGTTTTTGTTGTAATGTTTTTTTGTTGTTTTTTCACCAAGTAGAACACATACTAACCAGAACTTTAAGTAATTTGCTATTCATGTTGCTGTGTTTTTTTTTTCTTTGTTTTACGTTTTCAAAAATAATTAAATTTTGTTTAACAATAAGAAAATTTATAAGTATTCCAACCGCAACAATGAAAATAAATGACAACACCAACAGCAACACTCTATGAATACCACTGAGCGTCAAATATTTGAAGAACAATTCCGACAAAAACTGCACATCCGAAGTTGGAGACGTTTGGAAGAACAATAATACAGATTCCCAGAGTCAGGTTGTATTTATATTTTGTACTTTCCGGATGAGTGGTCGGTCGGCCGACAATGAACATTTAATTTGTTTGTCTAGTTGTAGTTACTCATGAAATTGTAGGTTTTTTTTGGTTGTTTTTTTTTTTTTAGTAAATTTGTTTCGAAAAGTTTAATTTTCCAATGAATAACTCAGAATTAGAGTTAAACTCTCTTGCCTGCTGCTTCACAAAAAATTCCCAGCATACCCAAACTTATTTTCTTATTGACATGTTCGGTTCAATAACAGCAACTGACGTAACTGATGTTAACACCAAAGGTGTCACATCAATATTTGGACACGATTGTTTTCACACCACACCCAATAAAGATTAAAAATAATACGCTGAGTTTTCAAAAACAAATTTCAATATTTAATAACAAAAAAATTATCCAAAATTTGTTTTGCTTGACAAAGTAAATATTCGTAATAATTTAATTTGATTCACTTTAAATGATGTTTAATAATTTGTAAATGACATTAACAACGGGGTATTATGCAATTGCTGTATGACATGTTTGTTTGCAACTTTTACTAAAGAGGATTCATTGTTATTTCTCAAGCCACTGTGTTTAGTTTTTATCACACCCTTTGAGAAATACATGCACTAGTCTCAATATCGCTTCAAATAAATATGGGAAAATAATGGCGCCCAATCAAATCAGAATCCTTATAAAATAATATTCTTCAATCAATGGATATTATTATTGAATATCCATAAATTTCCCAATAAATGAACAATACAACACAAGGCTGATAGATTTGTATAAAGGGAAACACATTGGGCTTTCTATAAAAAACAGGACTTCCTCTAGAGGATCAAGAGAACTCCTTTAGAAAGTCAAATGATCTCTATTAGAAAACTAGTAAAGATCCTATAGACAACCAATAATATTAAGTTCTGTTGAATTGAATTGACCGAAAAATTATTGTGTTTAGAAATTTTTAGTGAAATAGAAAATGTTAGATATAAGAACACAAAAGTAAAATTTAACTCCTATTTTTTGTCATTAACAGGTCAAGTTCGAGGATTAATTATATTGGTTCACATTTTGACATGGGACTATACAAAGTTACTGTCCAATTTAAGATATGTAGTTGGTTTCAGTCATTTAAAATTACTAAGTTAAAATTTGTAGTTTTTTTGTGGATGTAAACCTCTTTGCAAAAATTGATTAGTATAGTCCCACTCTTTGGTATAACAAACCTATATTTGCCCAGATCGATATTTTGTATTTACTACCAAATTGTCTGTAAATCAAATTTTCTCAGGTTTAGAGAAAAAACGGGGAAATATGTAAGCTCAGGACCACTTTCCAGTATGGGTGAGAAAAAAAAACAAAGTCAAACGTAATTATTCTTACATTTTTTTTTTTTAAATTTCATTGAATGAAAACAAAAACTATCGGAAATAGTATTAAATTTTAGAATAAGTTTAGATTTGTTCGAATTGGTCATCTTTGGCACGAATTATAACCTTCAAACGGTCACATGCTGCCCGAATGTTGCTCTGCGGTAATTTGGCCCATTCGCGGCGAAGCGCTTGCTTGAGGTGATCGACACTTTGGTATTTTTTAGTGCCAACCTTGCTTTCCACAATACTCCCGACACAATAGTCCAACGGATTGGTATCCGGAGATTTTGGTGCCCATTGTGCGCTGGAAATGAAGCGAGATACCTCATTTTGTAAGCATTCTTGAGTGGCTGAGTGAGATGATGTTGAGTCTTGTTGGAATGACCAAGGTCTGCGGCAAAATGTTTGCGTGCCCATACACCCCTTAATACACCCTCCAGAATTTTTTCGCGATAATATTCGGCATTTATTCTGATGCCACGGTCGATTAATACGAGCAGAGAGCGACCATCGGCTGATCCACACCATCGCCATGGTCGGCGCTTAAGTTCTGTTGGCCAACCGAAGGTGCACATTTTCAGCTGACCTCTTTGGCAAGTAAACACGATCATTTTGTTTGTTTACAAACTGCAGGACAACGAATGCTTTCTCATCGGAGAAAACCAAATTCGGCAGTTCACCACTTTCGGCCAAGCGAAGCAACTCTTTAGCTCTTTTGAAACTATTTTCTTTCTGTTGCGGTGTAAGTTCTTACACTTTTTGGAATTTCAATGGCTTTTACCCGAACTCATATATATGCCGAATGGAATATTGCGATATGTTCAGCTCACGAGTCATTTTTCGGCCACTGCGACGCTATTCCATTTCTGATGTTCTTGTTTTCTTCTGTCCACTTCCTTGACGTCGCTACTGACTACGCTTCCAATATCACGGTAACAATCGATGGTACGAGACACAAAATTTGATGTACGACTGACAGCAGTCTGAAGTTGGTTACAGTTTTTTCATCTCACCCTGTATGTGTCTAAAATGCTTATTGAGAGGAGAGGGGCCTCTGAATCATTGCTTTCTTCTCTCCTATTGAGGTTATGGTTGATAGTTGGTCATAAAATGTTTTGTTAGAGTAATTCTTTAAAATGGAAGATCCTAAAGGGTACTACAACCTATGGCAAAACATTTGTATGCAGGTTCATATCTTCGTATAGCCCCCATACAACTGTACCTCCGTATTTTCATGATTTTAACGACATTATTTACTGGAATTATTAAAAATTTCGTATTTGAAGTTCCCAATGGTACTACAGCCTATGGCAAAACTTTTTGTATGCACATCCAAGTCTGCGTATATCCGCCATATAACGATACCTCCCGATATTCGGTATTTCGATGATTTCAACAACATTAATCACCGGCATCGTTTCAAATTTCGTACCGGAAGATCCCAAAGGGTACTAAAACCTATGGCAAAAGTTTTTGTATGCAGGTTCAGATCTTCGGATAGCCCCCATATAACGGTACCTCCCGATACTCCGTATTTTCATGATTTTTGCGACATTATTCACAGTAATTGTAACAAATGTCGAATTTGAAGTTCGTAATGGGCACTACGGCCTATGACAAAAAAATTAGCATGCAGGTCAACGTCTTCGGTTTTCATTTCGGAATTTAAAGTTTCCTTCGAAATGGCCTTCGGCCTGGCCGAACTTATCTGCTATTTTTCTTGTTTTTTTTCTGGAGCGTTTTCTCCCAAATTGATTTTCACTCTTTGTGCAAATTAGAGGGATTTTTCAGAGGTCTGTTCATAACTGTGTTCATTCACTAACTGTGTCGCCTCTCAGATTTTCAAAAATCAATTTGTTAGGAGATTTTTTATTAATTTTTACTTATTGCTAAATTCTCCCAATTTCAATTCTTAATTTCCTTGTTATAAACATTCGAAATTATAATAACTTTCTCCTTTAAGTTACCTTTTTTTCTTACTTCAACTACTTTAATTTTTTAGACCATTAATAAGTATACTTTTAATTTATTTGTCAATTATATTTGAAAATGTCAAATAGTATCATAAAATTAGCATTGACACATCTAAATTCATTATCCTTAGCTATCAGATGCACCTGTTAAGCAAATTAAATTCAATTTATTCAATCACTGGCTTTTAATTCACAAACCCCATGACAGATACATACATACATACATTACTCCCTCCACACATAATACCCCCATAACATAACGTAATTCAATTGAAAGTGACAGTGACAACTTTAAACGATAATAATAATTGAACAAATAATAATTTATGTGTGTGTCCGGATCACATCGAGGTCTTTGCTGAGTAATTGAGTTTGGGGCGATACTTTTGAGCCCGCCATAAGTCACAAAAAAAAAAAAAAAAAACACCTAAGGGCTTATTTGAGCGGCATCACTTCCCGCCAAGCCGAAAAAAAAAACAAGTAAAATTGTAACTCTTTGCCATTGGCGGCACTTCTTTGAGAGTCGAGATGTTGCCGCGTTTGTTTGGCCGTTTAAAAATATCACATAATTGCCAACTGTTTGCCAAAAGTAAATATTTACCAATAACAAAAAAAAAAAAAAAGTAATCCACAAAACTACAGCTGCTTGTGGATGGGTCTGGTGTTTTTGGGGAATGCTAACAGTTGTGGGGAAAATTATGGTTAGGGGAAATGTTTTACTTGAGTCATGAATTTAAGAATATTTGGAAAATTTTCCGATTATTTCAAGGCATTCATGTTAAAAATATGATTTTTAAATAAAAATGTTAATAGGCTTTTAAAGGACTTGATTGTCTTCTTTTTTTTTATTTTTGTGACCCATTTTTAATTTCCAAGTACTTCATCTTCAAAAAGTGAATTTTTGAAGAATATTTTTTTAAAGACTTCCTGAAGATACATAGTGGATTTCTAAGAATCTGTTAAGGACTTCCTGAAAAAAAAAATTTAATTTGAAGCATATTTTTAAGATTTCTTATCCAAAAATTGCGGATTTTTTGAATATTTGTAAGGATTTACAAGGATGTCAAAAAACGTACGTGAGGACCTTCTGGCAATATCGTGCAATTTTAAGACTTTTTTTTAAAGAAAAGGAAGAATTTCTGGATACTATATCTGGATACTTATAACAACCTCCTTCTAAAAGTATTAAGTGTAATTTTTTATTAAAAAAACTTCATGTCCAAAAAATGGTATATTTTTTATGAAAAATATTTTTCAAGGACTTTAAGGTATTTAGAGGTATCCACATTAAAACTAAAAGTAAGGAAGCGGGGTGGGGCCGACTATATGATACCCTATACCGCCATGTATATTTAGTAGAGCTCCCCTAACAAAATAATTTATTTTAAGTAGATCATATCACCTATCAACATTTGTCGTTAGAGCAGTTATAGTTTGGTTTCAGAGGGAACTAATAATATATGAAAGACATATCCAATTGTGAATCGAATTTCACTAAATTTGACGGAGAAATTTTTAACTTTTATACCAAATAAAATTGATATAGATTATATGATATCACTTCGGGAAGGATTATATGTAAATAAAAAATATAAATGCACTCAATTTGGGCTGATGGTAGCCATTATTTGCACAATAACCAGAAATCGGATAAAGGATATACATGGTGAGATGAAAAACTGAAAACAGCTTCAGACTGGTGTCATTTCCAAACCACTCGCCCGACAGGTGTTAAAATTATTCCAGTGACAGCTCATTATATTGTTTACAAGCGTACAAACGCATTTTGGTGAGAAC